TATTAGGACAGTTTGTGGCACATAGGCTGTGCTTAGTAATTACTTGCTGAATGAATGAATAAAGGCAATCTTGGCCAAGTCATTTATCCTCTCTGAGCCTCAGTTTCCTCATCTGTAAGGTAAATAGTAGCTATTATTATTTCACCTGTGCCGTCTCTCCCCACATCTGCATCAGTTTGTTGGCCCATCTCCCCAACCCTGCATTGCAGGGGCTGCCTACTAAGCCTTCTTCATTAAGGGTCACAAAGGGCAGATGTATACAAGGCCTTTCTCTTCCCTCTTGTGTCCATCCCCTCCCCCTACTTTCCTCCTCCTCTTTACCTCCTGACCCCATTCTTTTTCCATCCCAGGCAAACTTGGGGTATAGTTCTGGGAACTTAGGGCAAGTGTTGAAACCTTTAGTTGCAACTTCAACTCATACTCACAAATGCTCAACTCACCCTCTTCCCCTTTCCCAGATGGTTGGGCCTGGGCTACAACATGAAGCTCTGAGCCCCCTAGGGGCCCCTACATGATTCAGCAGAACACCTCCCACCTCTACCTCCATTTCCCTCACAGAGCTAGCAGGGCTTGGGGAGCTAGCCCTCTCTGGGGATTAGTCGCATCAGCACGGTTCTAACTCTGGAAGGTTCACCGTGAGCCAATTCCTCAGGAGTACTGAACCAGAGGAAAGGCAAGCAACTTTGAGCATATGCAGATGGTGCAAGAATGATTCTACAGTAGTGGTCATGAGCTGGGCTGAGCCATCCGCTCTCTAACCCATACTTCCTTGTGAACAATGACACGTCCCTTCAAGATAGCCCATCGACACAAGAAGAGCAAGTTATGGGAGCAAAACAGATCTTCCCTGTATAAAGCTAACAGCTTGAATTGACAATCTATGGTTTTATTTTTGTTTTTTCCTCTCTCAGAAAGATAATGGGCAGGGAAGATGGGATAAGGTGAGGTCTGAATTTGCCTGTCATTACAGTCATCCTGTGGTATGTGGAATGCATGTCTACAAGATGGACCTTCTCAGGTTTGACTTCCAATAGGCTAAAATCTCATCTTTTGTGCTTCTAAGGGATGTGGTGAGAAAGAGGAAAAACCTAAGCTCAAAGGCTGAACAATTTCAAGTGGACGTGATGGCTAAACTCCCTCTCATGGAGTGGAGCTGAAGCCATCCACTTCCTCATCACCATCTCTCCTCTCCAAATCGATCTGCACCCCTCACGCTACTCTTTGCTTTCAGTGGAGTGGGGTTGGGGGAGGGGAGGCACAACGAGAAATGGCCAGCTTCTCTGAGGTTTTTATAAGCAAGAACAAATGACGGTCTTGTAGATGGGTTCAAGAAAATCTTTCAGAATGCAGAAAATTCAGCAGCCGTTCCACACTGACCATTGTCATAGCAACGTACTATCTGATGGCAGCATGCCTCACTCGGCTGGAGGGGCACAGTACCGGTGTAGCAGGTTAGGCTGCCCATTTTTAGCAGCATTTGGACTTCTTTCGAGCCTCATTTCTTCTAGATTCAGCTGAATTTCTTTTCGGTTCTGGACTTTGCTCTGCTAGTTTGTGTGGCCAGAACACAAGACTTTGTCAATATGAAAGGGATGGCTAAATGGAAAAGCTGAACATTCCTAGTATTCTATCGTTGCTCTACTTGCTGTCTGCCCTTCCTGGGTCCTCCTTACCCACTCTTCCTCACTTAGTTTCTCTTCTTCTCTGCATTAATTCTTTCCTTTACACAGCATTACCTCTCCCCCATCCAACAACGGTGACTCATCTACCAACCCCTGCACTCTCATCTTATTCTTTTTCTTTTTCTTTTTTCCCCCCATTTTCTCATTGTAACAAACAGCATCCTAGAATCTTAGGGTTGGAAGGAACCTTAACAATAATTTAGTCTAATCACCCTTCCCCAGGGCAGGAGCCCCCGCTACAATATGACAGCCAAGTGATTGTCTAGCCTCTACTTGTATATCTCTAGTGACAGAGACCTCATTCCTTTCTGGGCAGCTTGTTCTACTTTGGACAGCTCTAATTGTTTGATAATTCTTTCTTCTATTGAATGAAAATCTGCCTTTTTATAATATCCACCCATGGGTCCAGCTCTATGCCCTGTGGCCCCATAGATCCTGTCTACTTCCTCTGCTCTGTGACAGCCTCTCAGAGATATGAAGTAGAGACCACATCCCCCTGAATCCTCTCTTCTCCAAAAAGCTCTGGCTCCTCCAACCAGACGTCTTGGAGCCGGCGCTATGGTCCTCTCCCCAGCCCGACTGACCTCCTGGAACATGCTCCTATTTGTCTAGAGCCCTTTTAAAGTGAGGCCGATACTGCATCAGCATCTCTGGAGGCTACCCTGCCCTGGTGACTCATACTGAGCTTTGCATCAACTAAAATCCCTAACTCCCTTTCAGACAAAATGCTGCTAAGCCATGTCTTCCCCATTTTGAATGTGTCCAGTTGTTTCTGAGCATCCAATTCCTAGTCCATATGTTTTCTCTCAGTTTAATTTCATTGTGTTACAATCAGATTATTGCTTTAACCTGTTAGGATCTTTAAAATATCTTGACTTCCATGTACTTTCCGTGTCCTCTAAGATCTATTATTTTTTCGCCAACCCTCATCCTAGCCTCTTATTGTAAGTCTCTCTCTTTTTTTAACTTCTCAATATACATTGTAGTTGATTTTTGTGTCCCTTTACCCGTTCCTTTTTCTCCCCTTCCTCTCTCCCCTTCCCCCACTACATCATATCTGTTCACTTGTGTTAACAAGTTCAAGGAATTGTTGTGTCTTCTTCCCCCACCCCTTTATTTGCTTGTATATTTATTTATTTATTTATTTTTAGCTCCCACAAATAAGTGAGAACATGTGGTATTTCTCTTTCTGTGCCTGACTTGTTTCACTTAATATAATTTTCTCTAAGTCCATCCATGATTTATTTATTTTTAGCTCCCACAAATAAGTGAGAACATGTGGTATTTCTCTTTCTGTGCCTGACTTGTTTCACTTAATATAATTTTCTCTAAGTCCATCCATGATTTATTTATTTTTAGCTCCCACAAATAAGTGAGAACATGTGGTATTTCTCTTTCTGTGCCTGACTTGTTTCACTTAATATAATTTTCTCTAAGTCCATCCATGTTGTTGCAAATGGCAGTATTTCATTCTTTTTCATAGCAGAGTAGTATTCCATTGTGTAGATATACTACAGTTTCCTTATCCAGTCATCAGATGATGGACATCTGGGCTGGTTCCAACGCTTGGCTATTGTAAATAGTGCTGCAATGAACATTGGAGTCCTAGTTCTCTTCCCTTTGCATTACCTTCCTTATGTCTTCTCCTGCTTGTCATTTCCATGTCCTTAATAGCAAGATGTCAGCACTCTCTGGAGCTATGTGCCTGGGTACATGTGCAGGGAAGCAAGGGCATACCCCTATCTGCACCTACAGAGGTGTGAGCAAGTAGCTGCAGAGGCTTGTCTAGTTTCTCTGTTTCTATTGCTTGGTCTGTGCTCTACCAGGATTTAGAGCCTGGATGGGGGAATGGCAAGGTTGAGGGAAGAAGGATAAGAGAAGTTGGTCCAGGATCAGTCCCAAGGGAAACAGGAAATGTGTCCTGGGTCTGAGAGGAACAAGGGGAAACTAGGGCGGATCACTCGTGTTTATCAGGGCTGTGGCACAATGAGAAGGACTGGAAAAGGGCCAGGAATGGAAGAATTTTAAAGGCTTTAAAGGTTGGACCAGGGAGGAGGATTTGGTTAGGAAGAGAAAACTTGTGGGGTTGGTAGCCATTGAGAGGCCAAAGGGAGGTGGCTTGAAATGATAGGGTCAGGAGAAGGCTGAGGGATTTGGGACACCTTAGAAGGGGCAATAAGCAATGTTGTGAGTATAGCCTTAAGGGTCTATGACTTACTAGCTTAGAACACTTTCTCCGGCCAAGGAGCCCAGGACATGGGTCCTTGCTATAGACTTGGCTGTTGTCATAGACTGGGCTCTGCTAGTGGATATGGACCTTAATGTAATGCTTAGCAAAGACCCTCGGGATGCACCATGTTCTCTCAGACTAACTCCGGCATAGGAAAGGCCTCACTTTTATGTTGGATTCTATTCTAATGAGGGACTCAAAGGTATGAGAACTGGTGCTATCTTGGACATTTTATGAATTCACATGAGAATTTCACTCTCTAGGGTGGGCAATACAATACCCTTGGCCTCTTAAATCTGCAAGTAATTAGGATCCAAAAAAATACACACACATAAATACAATCTAAATTAAACAGGAAAGGGGGCCCCAAATACTTAGAACAATGGTAGATGAAGTGAGTTGTGAAGCAGCTGGGGTTGGGAGGGGCTCTTCTGCAAAGCTGAGGGTGCGACCCCAAACAGCTAGTGGCCAGTGTGATCAGGAGGGCGATGGCCTGATGCCTGCCATTTCCCCTCCACCCTGAGACCAGAATGATTCCAGGGCAGCCTCAGGGAAGGGAAGAAGAGTAGGGTGGCAGCCCCACCTCCAGTACTCTGGGTGAGACAGGGAATCCAGTTCCAAGATGGTAGAACCCCTGACTACTCATTATAATTCCCCAGTCTCTCAAGGCTCTATTGGACCAAGGAACCAAGCCTACTGGAATAGAATGTCTGCAAGCCCCTTCTCCACTCCAACGCCCCAAGTCTCTATCAACTTGAACTTCGCTCATCTTAAAGGGCATTTTACTGTTGGCCTTCTGAAAGCAAAAGGGTCTCAGGGCACACTTTAGAACTGGTTTTCTATTGGAGGTGCCTAAAGCCAAAACTTTTGTCCTCCTGAAGATGACATTAGCAGGCCAAATGACAATCCCAACCAAAGAGCCAGTGTAGAATTCCAACTACAAGCTGTCAGGCTAAGAAGTGGTTTGCCTTCCAAGTCAGTGAAATGATTAGCCACTAAAAGACAAATGGTATTTGAGGAAGCCTCCAGTGATGGGCCACTGCAAGTGGGTGGCACAAGGAGGGCAGGACTCGAGGGGTGGTGCTCACCTTTGATGTAGTTGAGGATTTGTTGGATTCGGTGGGGCTCATTGCGGTCTGGCCGGCAGCTTGGCGTGATTTCCAGCACATAATCAGGACCATATGCTGTGAAAAACTGCAAGGAAAAGGGAAAGGCTAAACAACAAACTAAACCACATAAAACTTCCAAACCAAACCACATACAAACAGGGCAATCAAATAAACTCACCACTACTGACAAGGCAAGAGAGACCGAGCTGGGCAGAGCAGGATGATGCAGCAGGAGGCCCTGCCCTGACGCTATCACGTCCCACCCCGTTGCGACCTCCAGTGAGAGTCCACTGCTCCATCCTTCAGCTTCCTGTTCAAGGGTCTGCTCAGGTCTCAAGCTTTCTCTCCACCTTCAGCTCTTACTGCCACCCTCTTCTCTAGCCACACCAGACTCATCTGTGCTCTCCCACATCATACCTTAGGATCTTTGCCATCGCTCCTCTCTGTGGCCTACAAAGGCCTTCCCTCAATGCCTGCTGCCTGTGACAAACCTCCCTATCCTTCCAGGCACAGCTCAAATGTCACCTCCTTCAGAAAGCTGCCCTTCATTCTCCACCAACTCCCAGAGCATTCTGTTGATACCTCTCATATGGCTCTTGTTCAAATAGTGCTTGCCTGCGTATCACATGCAGGTCACTGTGCCAGCTGCAGTGGGGGCTATACAGATGGACAAGGTCTCCTCTGGGTCCTCTAGGTACTCATAAGCACATTCGGCCTTGGACAGAGATTTTTCGACAGTGACCAGACCTTCCCCACTAAATTATCAGCTCCCTGAAGGCAGGCAGCACCTGTGTCCTATTCCTCTCCTTGGTCCTCACAGACCATGGCAGCAGCCTATTCGTATTGGTTGCTTTAAATTTCCTGCCCCAGGAATGGCAAACAAGTCTAGTTTCTCTACTTCAGTTTTTCTTTCTCTGTAGTAGAGTTTATTTGTTTTTAAATTCAGGGAATCAAGATAAAGGTTTGTGGCTTCTATTTCTAGCTCACTAGATGACTCCTTGTGACCTTTGGTAAGTCACAATATCTGATTCAGCTTCTCTGTTAGGGCCCACTTGGTGAAAAACACTCCATGACAAAGGGAATCATTCAATTGGGATGAGTCTTTGAATGAGAAATATGCAAAGCTACTATTTCTGTTTAGTTCTTAACAGAAATAGTATTTGTGCACACTCACTGGAGGGAGAGCATATGGTCCTTAACATTATGTGCTTTCAATAGTGATATTGTTAGGTGGTAAGTAAACCAGGGAAATTCAAATTCCATGAAAAAAAAAAATGGTACAGAGGGCATAAAAAAAGGGATCTTGATAGGTGTCATGACTTTGATGCCATTCAAAGAGCTTCTTAAAAATAATCCAGGGTATTGCCATTGTCACCAAATTACCCTTGTTAAGAGTCTGGAGGTACATCTGGCACTGTGGGAGATGTTGTGGAACAATCTCTAGGGATTCTAATGCGTCTTTGTGGAATCCATGGGAGTAATTTGATGGGGAGATGGCTTTTGCGCATCCATGACAGAAAACTCTACACATTAAAAGGAAAATGCTCAAGACTGTGCCAATGCTTATAATGTCCTGTGTTTATGTGTGTGTGTACTGATCTAGAGACGGGCTTAGGTCCTGACTGCTGGCGTTATCACTCTCTGATGCCTGAAGCCCCGCGTTCTGGAGATATGAGGCCTTGAGTAGAGATCATCTTTACCAAACCCATATGTGGAACAGACAAGAGGGGTTACCTGGGGGACACATCCAGAAACTAACAATTCCCCCATCATGGTTAAAGAAACTTGAGAGGCTTGTATTTTTATTTTTATTTTTTTGTCTTTTTCCGTGTCCGGCAACGGATTGCAACCCTCAGTGTCGCCCCCGTACCGGACCGGGACCGGCAACGGGATCACAACCCTTGGTGCTGCTCCCACACCTCGCTCAGCCAGTGAGCGGGAACTGGTCTGTATGTGGGATCCGAACCCTCGGCGGGAGTGCCGCCGTGCTTCTCAAGCGGCGCACTATAGCAGTGCGCCACCGGGCCGGCCCCGAGGCTTGTATTTTTAGCCAAAGAGGGTCCCTCAGTCCAAGCCTAAGGAACTTGTGGGCTTGGCTCTGGAACAGAAGGCTTCAAACAGGTGTGACGCTCTCTTCTTGGGCGGCCTCTTCTCCAGAGGGTGTCAAGTGGTACACTCTTTTCATGCATATGGAAAGACAGGCTGAGCTGAGAGAGCAACAGAAGGCAGCTGCAATGAAGCAGCGCCTCCAGGAGACCCAAACGCTTGGCAGCAAAGTGCTATAAAAATCAGAGGCAGGGTGCCTAGCTGAGGTATAGGAGGAGGGAATGTACTGCCTCCATATGCAGAGATGACACTGCTGATCCTCTGTCAGCAAGACACATTGTGAGGTATTTGCTTTGGGCTTAGTGTTTGGAATAACACGTCCTCAACTTCTGAGTGCCTACTGTGTGGTTACCCACACTCTCCTACTTCGGCGTCTTCTTTGTCCAATAGCACACAGTTGCACGATGGTCAGCTGGGGCCAGAACTGACTTCCATGTGACAGAACTTAGCTCTACTCGGATTAAGCCTCCTGTCCTGGCTTCATTAGCACCTGGCTTTAACTAAGCCACACAGTGGGCAAAGTGTCATAAATAACCCATTCTCTGCTAAAGCAGGCTGGCTGCATGTAAGCCAAGTCTGGGTTTGTAAACTCCTCCCTACCTTTGCCAATCAGATATTATTCCCAGGTCTTACTTATTTGCACTATTCTTAAGCTAGGGGACTCAGATGGTTTAAGAAAGTCCCTATGCTGTGACATGGCAGCTGGCTGGCCCCCGCCTTGTGGGACTCTGTTTGGGGCTGAGGGAAGCAATAGGCACCAGGAAGTCATAGGATGTATCTAAAACAAAGGTGGTTCCCTGTTAAACCTCTCTGGCTCTGTCATGCCATTTCTGTTTCTGTGTTATATTTTTGTTTTTGCAGTTGTTAAATCTTTTCTACCAGACTATGAACTCTGCAAAGGCAACAAATTCTGTCGCGTTCTCTTTGCATACCCTGTAGAGCCGAACTCAAGGCATCACAGGTTTTCCTTAAGTGTATGTTGAATTAAATTAATTCACCAGGGGTTTAGCTAGCTGTTCAATTAATTGTGTGGAATAATTCAAAGAGTCAACTCATAGCATTAACAGCTTTTCTAGACTCTTGTTACTGCATGATGAGGTGGAAAGAACACTGGCTTTAGAGTCAGGGAAGGCTGGGTTTTGGCGCCTAGATTTAGCTGTGAGCCCTGGGTAAGTTTCTTAAACTCGGTTTTGTCATTTCTACCAGAGGGATGATAAATATTGACCTAGTTGGGTTGTTAGGGACCAATGAGGTAATATCTATAAAAGGGCCTAGCACAGGGCCCAGCACATAGTAGGACTTTAATAAATGTGAATTCCCTTCTCCTGGAGCAAGAGACCTTGCCTAACCATACCTCATCCATACTCTGAGGGATGCCGGGTGAGGCGGTTGGGGCTGAGATGTAGAAAGAAGAGCCTGTTGCTCCTGCCAGATCAAGCCTAGCAGCCCCAGTATCCCTCACCACTTGCTTAAGCCATTAGCTCAGCCTAGGGCCAGTGGAGAAACTGACTTCTCTCATAGTTTCCTGTCCTACTGTCCTGCCACTTGTTACTTACTGGCGAGGTAGAAAGGAAATATGATCACGCAAGGCAACAGAGATGTTGGGGTGGAGGGATTTGGCCAGTACTGGAAATAGCTTGAAGCCCCACCCTGAAACTGCCCTCCAGCCCCGGAGAGGAAAGGAAATGGGCAAGCAGCAGTCCCATTCCCAGACAGGTGGAGCAGGGGATGAAAGAGGCCAGCCGCCTTTCAAGGGAAAACACTGGCTTTGATCTCACTAAAGGAAGGAGGGAGGTGCTAACCCCTCTCTGCTTTCCCTCTCAGCATTCCTTCGGCTTTCTGGGTTTTAGTTTATACATTTTTGAAGGGAACATGGTACTGGAAGAGGGCAAGTGGAAAGTATGAGGTGGGGCAGAGGGGTGGGAGTTGAAGGTAAAGGCTACCTTAGGGCGATCAGTCCCTTCTTGACCCAAGTGTCAATGAATAAAGAAGTGTAAATGGTTCAGCCCTAGTTCAGTTTAGCCCAACTCAACTCCTTTCTTGCTCACTCCTTTCCAGCTCTTGCTCACACAATGAAAACAGCATACAACTAGGTATTTGGTCAAAAAGATACTCAGAAGAAGACTTAAGGTAGCTATTATTCTTCCATAATCCCATTTGGTCACAGGAAACCAAGCCACAAACCTGAATCAGCTGATCCTTTTATTCTCACCTCAATATTTAGTAAGGACCTACTATGTGCCAGACTAGGTTAGTCGCTGGGGTACAAAGACAATAAGGCATGTTTAATAGGAGGGATTATTAAAGAACAATGTGATGAGTGGTTTACTACTATTACTACTGCTATTACTACTACTAAAAGTAAAAGTAATATCAGCTAACATTTACTACAGGCTTATTATATGTCAGGCACCTAAAGTGTCTAAGCACTTTTTATGGATTGACTAACTTAATTCTCACAACCAACCCGTATGGTGGGTACTACTATTGCTCCATTTTAAGATGAGGATCTGAAACACAGACGGTTAGATAACTCGAGAGAAATCATACAGCTAGTATATGTGGAGCTGAGATTTGAACCCAGGTAATCCTGGAGGTCAACACTAGTTATAGGAGCCCATACACCATCCTAGAGGAAGTGAGTGTGGAGTAGGGCCTGCAGAGGGGTACAAAGGGTGGCAGGAAGGCATTCCCAATAGAGCCTGAGCAAGACAGGGGGTGTGAAACAGAATGGCACATTTTAGGCACTGAAGTGAATTAGCTATGGTGAAGAACCACCTGGTTCTTCTGGGCACAAGAACCAGGACACAAGGCTGGGGAGGCAGGCATGAGTTTCACAGCAGGCCTTGCTAAGGCATTTGGCCTTATCCTAGCCTAGAAGCTCCAGGAGGGCAGAACATTTTTTCTTCCCTGCTGTACTGCCAGTTCCCAAAACAGTGCTTGCACCTAGAAGGTAGTAAATAAATAGTTGTGGGATAA